ATTTAATGATGTCCAAAATATTTTTCCATGCGGACGAAGTCACAGTAACAGATAATAAATGTATATTTAAAGAAAATACAACAGCGAAGAAGCCACGGACTTTTAAAAGGAGTACGGTAGAATAAAAGGCGGTCATAAAATATTTATTCAGTACATAACTCGCATTTTACAATTGCAAGTATTCATCGATGAAATACTTACGTAACTAGCCATAGTGCCGTGCCGTTTATCGATGTAACGAGACTATCGACATTAATAGCAGCGCACTCTATTCAGCATAATTCGTCGATAAAACTACTCATAAACAGTTGTCGATATCGATACAGTACTAACAACACTCGTTTATCGTTCGAGCACTCGTTTGGGAATATCGGGGTCGCTTAAAGCGTGTTCAATAAAAGGATTTTATATTGTTGAGGTATTTTTACTTTTCGATATTTATACAGTTACGAAATTAGCATCCTTTTTATTTTAAATAAAACACTTTAACGGTTTAAAACGCGATATATTAGTTAAACTTATTTAAAAATGATTTTTAACTTCGGCCCGACGTTTCGGACCGAAACCACTCCCCGTGACCACGGCTGCTGCAAAGCATCCGAAACGTCGGGCCGAAGTTAAAAATCATTTTCAAATAAATTTAACTATTATATCGCGTTTTAAACCGTTAAAGTGTTTTATTTAAATGTGTACTACTCGCGTAAACTATAGACAGTATCCTTTTTCTTGACAATAAGCCAGTTAGTTATCTACCCAATTAATTTTCTAGAAATAATTTCTATTATAATGCGAATCAGCTTATCAAGCAAACGATGTATTTTTTAGAGCGTGTTGCAATCATTAAATTAAATTATTAATACATAGTTGGAAATATCTAATTGTCGAACACATGTCAACACATAGCAGAGTGTTAACACTGTTTAAGTAGCGACAAGTTATTGTAATTAAGTGAATCCGTCGATCGGAAGTCGCGTCACGTCGGGATCATTCCGCGACGATAATTAATCCCGAGGGAGCGTAAACTAACCTTCGGGAGCTAGGGGTAATCCCTCGGTTTTCCTCCGACAAACATAGTTATCGCATGTATTAGGAAACTACGTAATAACTACCTTCCGTTTAACGACTTTCCAATTAAATACTGTCTGTAATTTACTCGAGTAGTACACATTTAAACAAAACACACTTTAAAACACGAAATGCAACTTGATTTAACTACGGCGCGACGTTTCGGATGCTTTGCAGTAGCTGGGGGTCACAAAGGGGTTGTTAACTTATACATTACAAGTTTTAACCTGTTAAAAGTGTTTTATTTCAATGTGTTCTGCTTATATAGACTACAGACAGTATTTTAAGTCTGTTAAAGTTATATAAAAATAAGTTCGTTAAAACGTTTTATGCGATTTTATCTTATAACGTAGACATGCCTGGACATTTCTTAAAGCCTATTAGCTATAAGTAGTTTCTTTTTATTTATTTTTTAGTTTCTTGAGCCGTTTTTGCAACACATGCAACAAAAGCCCTCAAATATATTATATAAATCAAACAAAATGCAGTTTTCTCTTTTGTTCCACATTTTCCACCGTTTCTTTTCCCAACGTAGACTGCGACCAATAGGTCAGGGTACGTTGGAAAATATCACATATCCTAAAGGCTTCCTCAATAAATAGTCTAGCCAACGAACAAATAATGTTTTAATTGGAACCAGTAGATTCGGAGATTAGCGCATTTAAACAAATAAACACGTAAGTTTTCTAATATTAAAGAAATTATTATTATTTTATTAATATTCTGTTTTCTTTTTAATCGCTGTGTAAAACATTTCTTTGTTTTGTTATATAAAATAAAAATAAATCTTCCTACACGTACACCGTATCACAGTAGATATCAAGTTGTGTCAAGTGATATCAAATTTAATATTGGATTAAAATTCTTCTCACTTATTAGCATTATATAGAGGTTTCGCCAGCATACAATCAGCGTCACAGACCAAATGTAAAGACGATAACAATCCTTCTATCATTTAAAAACTTACAACGAACAACTGTACAGTATTAAATTGTTCTAATACCCAATTGAATTGAAACCTTATTCAAGTTAAGAGTTGTCGAAAAAAAAGGAGTTTCAGCATTTTGGTATACTTTACGATTCCTTTAGGACGAATTTATACATTGTGTGATCACTGCGCTTTATGATTTTACATATATCGGACCTAGTTTTATGCCAAAGGTAATTTGAAACACTTTAACAGTACCTCGCAAGCACTTGTTTATTGTTAGTAAATTACACAATCCTTACACACTCCAAGCTTTTAATCTATACTAATATATAAAGCTGAAGCGTTTGCTTGTTTGTTTGTATGCTTGAATGTGATAATCTCAAGAACTACTGGTCGGAATGAAAAATCTTTTTGTTTTGTTTAGAGCATGTATCGAGGAAGGTTATAGGCAAAACTTTGCGCTGGGACTAATAGGAGCAAATAAAAAGCCGGTAACGTTGCCTTTGCGTACGCTGCAAAAACGGTTCATAACCAAAAAAATACGTATGAAAAAATGATTTTTCTTTGAAAGATCTAAGAAAATGTCCGCGACGGTATATATCTATTTTTTAAGATTAACTTGCAAGAACAACAGGACGCGAGGGACGTCGTATAAAAATAAATATACTACGCGGACGAAGTCGCTGACATAGCTAGTGATCTAATATGATAACAATGATGAAGCAATGATACATATACTATCTTCACAAAACCAAAAGCATTGTTAATATATGTAACCTACTAATAACGCAACCCGTGCTTGTGTTCTCTGCGATAGAATTGAAACACTGATAGAAGTAGAGTTGACAGGTAGCTTCCGAATTAATAGGGGCTCGTTTGTATGCTAATGCTGTCCGACGACATCGGCTTGCATCGTATCTACCTGCCGTTTATTATCGCCCTGGGTCATGTTGAAATTGGCAACAATAATATGATAATAAACTTACGTCTTAAACTTAAACTTATGACTACGCTATAGCCGTTGTTAAGATTATATGGTTAACAAGCTGAATCACGCGACTTCGTAGAAGAATTATTTTGGATGTCAATTTTTGTTTTTGCAACTATAAATTTGTGCTGTTACTAAAACGTCGTCCGCGTCCCGTCATTCTTGCAATTAACCTTACACGACTTTTTTTAGATCATTTAAAGAGGAATAATTCTTTCATACATATTTTTTAGGTATCTCGAACCGTTTTCGCAGCGTGCGCAATGAAAACCCACAAGGATGAATAATTTTCTCCGGTTTTTCGACATTTCCTGCTGTTTCAGCGCTATGTTTTATATTAGCTTTTTTCCAATAAATGCTCTAACTAACACAAAAATAATAATAAAATAAAATAAAGAAATAGTACCGGGGATTAACAAACTCTTCAGCTTTATATATTAGTAAAGATATATATATATACGTTTATTTTATTTGATATGTTAATTATCTAAATTGAGAAGAACAGAAGTCTAATAAATTCCGCGCTTTTAAATAAAAGAGTTTCAATAAAACACTATTAATGGTTTAAAACACGAAATATACTAGTCAAATATATAATTTATTTTAAACTACGACCCGACGTTTCATATGCTGTTTGTTACAAAAACAGCCTAGTGACTAAAGGAGTAAGCTATAACTGCTGATGAGAATTTGCTGATGCTGATGAGAATTTTGCTATGTACAGGCGTTATTAAAATAAAACTATTACGAACATTATATGTCATTGTAAAATGTATCAATGTATGATGTGTATCCACATATTTTGTATCTAAGAAAAAGTTTATCTGTAGCCAACAAGTCAACCAAGGAATTTATTCACAAATAAGCTTCATAAAATTTTATAAACAAAGACTACACGAATAGCTAGCACACGCTTGTAATAAACGACAATTCCTGGAAGAGGTCAGTAGGTTGTATCGAGTGTACCCGGGCTCTAACACCAGTCGTATTTGATTGAAGCCTTTTGTCGGAGGCTGCAAGGCACAGTATTGCTCCATGTCGTAAAGTGACCCTGTAGTAATTGAATAGCCGGGAGGGGAATTGAAATCGATAGGATAACACCCTTATTCTATATTACAGTATAGACAATAGTCTATAGGGCATCTTAACAGGTTTATTCTGTTAGTACATTTAAGTCACTTTACTATAAGTGAATTCAGGCAACAAAAAATGTATTTTCTCAAACGTATACAGATAAATAAAACTTGCTGTTCTGGTCGAGCAGCTGCAGCGGCTGGCAATATTTGTATGAAAATGCATATCCGTCGTGATTAGCATCCAAGTAAATTACTTAAAATCATATTTGTCCGTGTAATTTAAAAATGGATCTATTTCTACTTCGCAACATGGCCACGAATGAGGTAACTTATCAAAGGTTTCATTTAAATTTCGAACTGGCTTGCACATATAAAGCTGTTTAGTGAAAAAAAAAACTTTAGCGCGTAAAGAATTATTGTTATTTTAGAAGTTAGACAACTTCGTCATTGGTTTTAAAGTTTTAATTGTATTACGTAGTATAAATTAAAATACTATACAAATCGTGGCCGCACCTAGGTATTGATGGAATCACAATATATTATGCAGCTGTCGTAAGAATGCCTCTCTTGCCGACCGCTGCTGAATATTGCTTAACAATTTTCAGAAAAACTTTTTTAAAGCACGAGGACGGATATCCTTTTTTAATCAAAACCGAAACTCAAGCAAAATATATTATTACTGCACATAAAGCACTCTACAACCAATAATCACTTCAATTCCTTAATTACCGCTCTCCAATGCAAGCGAAATATCTGAAAACGCCGAGTTGCCTGTCGGAGCGAGTACCGAATATCGATAGTCAGATACAGGTCATAGAATCCAATAACAGCAGCACACGGCTCTAAATTCATTGAAGGAACCACTCGCGCGATCTATTATTTTAATGAACACGAACTATTGTAGTCATTTCTCCAGCGAGTCATAATAGGAGAGCGAATAATGGCGTTGTACATAGCGCATATGCGAGGCACGCACGAACTAAACCATTATACCCGCAACGCCATTGATAGCAATACGTTTAATACCCAACAAAGAGTTCTGCTTAAAGTGAAAACCTCGAAATCCTTTTTAAAATTGCTCTCGTGCATGATGCATGTAATTAAAAAGTGGAGCAACCGACCGACCAGCGACGCGTGGACTGTGCGAGCTCTCGCGTCTCCCTTATCGAGATTTATTGCCATGGGTCAATGGTGGCTGGTGCATCGCGGGGGGTGACTGATAAAACCGCGGAGCTGTGATATCCGCTATCCCTGATTTATATATGACTGAATGTGCCGTAATGAACATGGAAATATCGATTTTATAACGAAATATTCTCGTTTTTAATCAGCATTTCGGTTGTTGGACTGATCTCAGTAAATAATTATCGGTTATCTATACTAATATATAAAGCTAAAGAGTTTGTTTGTTAGTTTGTATGTTTGAATTAGTGTGCTCAGGAACGATGGGTTCGAATGGAAAAAATATTTTTGTGTTGGTTAGAGCATTTATCGAGGAAGGCTATATATAGGCTATAAAACATCGCCTTGTGACTAATACAAGCGATGGTACAGTGAGAAATGGAAATCTTATCAATATGGTTTTCAGAGGCGTACGCAAAGGTGCAAAAACGGTTCAAGATACCCAAAAAGTATGTTTGAAAGAATGGTTCCACTATAAATGATCTTATCTTTTAAGATTAACTTCCAAGAACGACGGAAAGGCACGCAATCGACGTCGTGGGTTGTTACCCAATTTTAAATTTGTATAGATGGAAGGGTTTGCAAAAACGAATTTGGTTGCCCAAAATAACATATAGTTATTTAATATTATCCGTCGGTATTTTACTGGTAAATACAAAATTGGGTAGGATTTGGTCTTGTTAAAACACACCAGACACTAAAAGTGAGCCTAATATGAGATTTGGAAAGATGGAGGGATAATTCATTTATATTTTAACGCCTTCCTTTATATATTTTTTTACGTCCTATAGCCAACTTGAAATTTTAGGCGCGCTTAGTTTTCAGTTCCGAAGCTTACTTATTTACTCACACGATAAGCAATTATCAAGCAATATTATATTGAAATATTTTTTCTAATTACTATGTAGGTACACATCTTAATGTATCATCTTAGGTTATGCAATAATGAATTAAGAAATACTTTATTGAGTTTGAATTAACTGTCAATAATAGAAATTATTTATTTTTTTGTTATTATTTATGTTAAGATGGAAAAAGGTATATCGCTGCTTGTATTCGAATCTACGACCATAGCGCACGGTTGCAGCATTAACATCATATCAATAGTTGCTACATATCTATATATACCTTATTATTATATATCCACAATAACCACTAACTTTACACAATTTCACGTTAACAACAGTATTTTTGTCAACGCAAGAGTGTGTTATGTAGAGCGGAATGTTTTAATTACAGTTCTCTATAATAATTTACGGGGCATTGTTAAAAATTGAGAATATAAGTGTAAAATAAATGGGTAAAGTCTATTTTTTTATTAGAGCCCGACGTTTCCGATGCTTTGGAGCAGCCGTGGTAAAAAAGGATCCGAAACGTCGGGCTGTAGTTAAAATAAGTTTAACTAATATACATATATCGCGTTTTAAACCGTTAAAATGATTTATTTATGTGTACTACTAGCATAAATGCAGACAGTATTTACAATTTTCTTATTTATTTATTACATTTTTGAAGTATAAGATTTTATAAATGGATATGATAAAGACGTTACTTATTATATTGAAGCTAAGTAGTTAAGTTAGTGTAGTTAAATCAAGCACTTTAAACGGTTTAAAACGTGATATAAGTCAAGTTTTATTTTCAATAGAACGCGATGTATTCGCCGGGCCACTATAGACGGTAGCTGTAATGTTAAAGTCATATCGGCTATACTAGCGCCATCTGTTTCGTAGTTCCTACCCGCAGACTGAACAGTAAAAACGATTGTATTATGATTATCATTTAATTGAATGGATTATATGCGACTATAACGTTATTGGCATAGAAACGTTAAACATGGGAACTAATACAGACACAAGCGTGGAGTAAAGTTGTGACGTCACGTGCCTGTAAGTTAATAATTGGGGGCCGAGTGTCACTCGAAGCGCCCTCTCGCGCCTCCCTTTGCCCTCAGCAGACGTGACGGACAATGCGCACTTGTACACAATTACTCAGTGATTATGTCATAGAACAATGTTTACAATAGCCTCGGGTTTTTGCAATACGAGCAATCACGGGAAGGGGATTTCACAAAAATAAGGGGCTAGGAACTGAAAACGAGGCAGGATTTTACCCAAATTCTGCTGTGACTTAAATATTACACGAATAATTTATTCTTAAAAAGTAAGTATATACAACCTTAAATAGAGAAAACTATCTTAGTATAATGGCTACAATCAAGACAATCTTAACGATAAATATTTTAGTTACATTGACATGTAGCCTATTAGAAAAGAAGAAATGTGTCATTACTATTGTCAGGTCTTATTAGGCCTGATTGAAAGAATTAAAAAGGTAAAGTTGATTACATGAAACTAAATATGACACGTGGAATTGAAACCCATGGCAATAGCGTATTGTGCTAATAACTTTTAAAACGAATTCTTTTTTTGTAAGTAATTAAAGTATTGTATATCTAAATAAAACACTTTTAACGGCTTAAAAAGCAAAATATACAAGGTTATTCTTTGTTAATACTAAAGCTGAAACACGCCAATGCAATTTTCGAGCAGCTCTTGTGCTCGTCTAAAATGATAAAGGTATATTGGTGGGCATTCCTTAAAGTCAACGTAAGACTGTGACGGCGAGTTTATTGCCAGTTCTTCTCTTTCCCGTTCTACGCCCTTGACTTGATTTATTAGATTCTTAATTATTTGGACGTTTATAAGTGTACATAGTTACCTACATGAATAATGATTTTTGACTTTGACTTGCTCTCTACGTTGAATAATCTCCCGCCTCTGTCTACTGCGACTGGTCTGAACTGGCCATGCTCTCGTAAGCGCTGCGTAACGCTCAGCATTGTGTTCGATGATACCAAGACGCCAAATTGTTCATGATAACGTCTCACTGCTTCAGCAACATTATCACCACACAAAGCAAGTGTTCGCACCATTTCCACATATTGTACATTGGTATAATTGCAAAACATGTCTCTAATTAACACACTAAAAAAAACACCGCGAAACGACGAGACGCCCGTGGGATGCGTAATCGCTTGCTTGCAATTCGGAAGAAAGTTGTTACGTAATCACCGCAAAGGTTGCGCACGCACTGACTCTAGACTAGAGACTGCGAGCGGGGGGCCCGCGCGCGTGGTAACGGTTAGTTCAAAGCGACGAGCGGCCATCGCGGCCGCCAAGGCTTCCCCAAATTTTTATACCTATTGAGTTATACTTATGTAGGAATTTATTTATTGAACGGTGTCCAGGATTTCAAAAAAATCATATAACTTTGAAAAAAATATAACGTGGTATAAAAACAATTGGAATGGATTCTGCTACTGATTCTGAACAAACTATTTTCAGGTTTCGCATGAACACATCAAACGTCAAAGTCAAATCTGCGACGTCATCTGTTTCGTAATTGTAATTTAGTTAACTTAATTAATTTGCATTTTGAACCGTTAAAATTGTTTTATATAAATTTTACATTTCTTTGTCGCACAGTGTGTGGTCGTGACTTCGTGTTTGCGCGAAATGTTTTTTCTAACCATTTTTTTATTTATTTGTGAGATATGTGCATTAACAATAATTTGTACAACTAATAAGAATTTATAAAATAACTCACCGACAAACAGGTACAAAATGAAGACCAGATTTCCGATGAGCGCCATGCCGCATCTGTGAACATCGATCATTTCAGTTTGTTTAAAATAACACAAAACGAATCTATATTCGTTTGTATTTCGATTATTTGACCGATGGGAAAAATAGTTTTTCCTAACGGTCAAACAATCGATAAGTTAATACAGGCGTTAGAACTACCATACTATAACACTAAATTTAGTACGAATGTCTCTACTAAATCATGGGATGCTGTAAAGATTCAAGATAAAAAAGCCAAATTTGCAATCTGGACTTGTAAGAATTTTTCTATTATTGAATATTTCTATTTTTGAAGTGAATGGCTGTGACAGACCAAATCAAATTAAAAATAACACTATAGTAATTTAAAAAAAAAACACTTAAGCGGTTTAAAACGCGATATATATTAGTTAAACTTATTTAAAAAAATATTTTACTACGGCCCGTTTTGGATGCTTTGCAGCAGCCGTGGTTACGAGGGACACGTTTAACTAATGTTATTTGTCGCGATTTAAACCTTTAAAGTGTTTTATTTAAATGTGTACTACTCGCCGACAACAACAGATAGTCCTACTGTAATTAATAAGAATAGCAGAAATAACGTTTATTTGTTATTTAAATCTATACTAATATATAAAGCTGAAGAGTTTGTTTGTTTGTTTGAACGCGCTAATCTCAGGAACTATTGGTTCGAATTGAAAAAATATTTTTGTGTTGAGTAGAACATTTATCGAGAAAGATTATAGGCTACAACACATTTACATGTGACTAATAGGAGCAAAGAAACAGCGGGTAATGTAGAAAAAACGGGGGAAATTATTCAACATTATGGGTTTCCGAGGCGTACGCTGCACAAATTGTTCAAGATACCCAAAAAATATAAATAAAAGAATGATGCATCTTTAAATGATAAAAAAAGCGACGCTATATGTCTATCTTTTAAGATTAACTTGCCAGAACAACGGCAAAGGGCTACGACCGACGTCGTGGATAACAGATTAAGTTTATGAAAATGAAAGGTTTTGCAAAAACGAATTTGAATGCCCAAAATGACGATTCTCGCGGACGAAGTCGCTGACACAGCTAGTACTGGATAAAACCTAATGTCTCCAGTTTTGTACTACCTACAATATATCAGTCTCTATAATTTATAACAATTTTTAAATACAATATTTAGTGATGCACTTTATGAAATTCCAGCTAACGTTAATAATATAGAAGTAATAATGATATGAGCGGACATGTTCGCAAATTAATCACGTTTCGGTTGAATAAATCCGTTCAAATTATGCAAATGCAATAATAATTTAAAATCAATGAGCGCGCTTGTTTGCCTTTTATTATAAACATAGTGTTACACATATTACGATAAATAACTGTAGATTAGATACATGACAAATGTGATGTA